CAAAGCAAGCATGCACCTATATACGTTCCTGTTCAAGCTCAAAAGGAGAATTCCTACGGGTCCTTATCAATATGGGGATCTTACTATAATATACCCAAAGCCATATTCTGTCTACTTAAGGGGTACTAGAAGGTTGATTAGGATTGTATAGGGTTCAGGGTTTAGGGCTTTTAGAGGGTTAGGGTTTTGGGGGTCTAGGGGCTAGTGCTTAGGGTTTGGGGCTACATATGGGGACTTCCCAAAATCTGGGGTGCTATTTACTTGCAGGTCCCAATGATAAGGACTTTGGTATTTTGGAGTCTATATTGGGGTTCCCTGACTTCGGGAAAATACCTTATAGGGTTGTAGAGGGATGTATGGCCGTATGTGGGGATACGTAGGGTTGTACGGCAATACACGGGAATATGGAGGGACACGTTTTTGTGTGTGTACATATATATATATATGTATACATATGTATGTATATATATATACATATTAGGCGTACGGATTTTCATGATCTGCGAGTTCCCATCAAAATCTGGGATCCGCCCTTGCAAGCCCCCTAATTCTATAATATTTAGTTTGGGGTGCCTAGAATTTCTCCCTTACAATGCAGGGCTGCCGCCTTACAAACACCGCGCGCCTCATCCCGCATGAGAGCTAGAAGGCGCAAAGCACCAACCTGCGGGAGACAGCAAGAAGACGCGGCTTAGGCTTTAGCAAGTATGTCACCGTAAATGCCATCACATGGCAGCTTGCCCAAGTAGGAGACCCCAAACAGGGGGCCCCAAATTGGGGGTATATAACCCCAATAATGGAGAATCGAATGGAAGAGAAAAAGGAAAACAAAAAGGAAACCAGCGTTATATAGTAGGTATTGTATGGGAATATTAGGTGGTTTCCCCAAACAAGGGACGCTAATATGGACCCTAATACTCCAATCCGTATTGTAGGAACTCCACAACGGGTACCCCTAATTTGAGGAAACCGGAAACCCTGAACCCTCAACCCTAAACCCTGAACTCTAAACTCTCAACCCTAAACCCTGAACCCTCAACCCAAAGCTCTCACCCCTGCACCCTGAACCCTCAACCCTAAACCCTAACCCCTAAACCCTCAACCCTGCACCCTAAACCATACCAGAATATACCATAATATGCCATCATATATTACAATATAGTAGAATATACTAACAACATAGACACCTCCCAAAGAGCAAGGTCGGAGGGCAAGCCTTGACCTCTGTCTTCTCCTTCTGCTTCAGGCCCTGAGTCCAATGTTGAAACCATGGGCCCCTAGTATGGGCCCTTAACACTGGGATGCTTCTATGCCTATATTATTAGTATATTATGAGTATGTTATTCGTATATTATAATATATTATGGCATATTATGGTATATTCTGGATGCCTATTTGGGGGTTTCGGGTTTAGAGTAAGGTCCTCCACACGGCCGACATGTGTGTATGTGTGCCTGAAACATGTGGCTTTGCAAGTGCATTCCTTCAACGTAGCTGGGTCTCTGTGTGCAAGAAATGACGACCCTTGAAGGCCATTCATGTACAACTGCCTTGTCGCGGACAGAAGGTCCCTCACTTAAGATACACGAGGCAACTCTTCCGCTGCAACGCTACAACTTCTTGCAGTATATAACCCCAATATATACCCTATTATAATATGGTAGTTTCTATTTTCTTTTCCATTACCCCAATAT